GTGAGAGTGGGATGCAACATCGATGGGGAAGTATCCTGTTCACAATTTATGTTGCATTTCTTCCCTTTTGCTGATTCTGTGGAACTACATTTCCCTGATCGCCACTATTGACCTGACTCTGTCAGCTGCCAGTGGCAAAGAGGATTCACCTAGATTAGGTAGCTACTTCCTGTTCCTTTCTCCAGACTTGGAAAAATGGAGAAAATTTACTTTCCACTAACGGTTTCTTAGAACACAGTGGTACAGAATGTTCAGAAGTAGGAAAATTCCTCTGAAAGCTATGTCTGGTTACCCTCAGATAAACATTTCCATTAATATTTCATCTCATTTTGAGCTCCTTCCCAGCTTGTAGTATTTTTTTCAATGTATGTAGGTGGCCTCAAACCATATGTGAAAACTATTTTCCAAAACCATTCCGTCTTTGTCTTACTATGAACGATTTCCTTATGTCCTTGCCACTGAGCAGCAGCTTCTCTAAAATGGCTCAAATGCCCCTTTCTACAGTTTGATTTTCCCCACATTATGCTGATATCTTATGTCCTTTGGGGAGCCCGTACATGTTTTAATACCACATTTAAGAATGAAATTGACTATTTCTTCACAGTGTGTCTCTGTATTTATTGCTATTTTTAGATAATATGCATTGAATGTTCCCATAGTCACTGCTCTGTACAAAGCAGTTATCACACATGAGAGGCAGTCTCTTGCTCACAGGGATTTTTATTCAGTCCCAGTCTACTTTAAAATGCTAAGCTTCCCAGGTTCTTTTTCCCATTAAACACGGCTTTTAAGTGTTTTAGTGATTTTTCATTCAGACACGTGACCATTGTAACAGCTTTGGATGGACATTTGTAAATGGCAAAAGAGTCCTAGATTGTTAAGGGGTAGTTTTATCCTGATGTTTTAAAATCTGCTTTCTTCCATCTCCAGCCACCTGCCCTAAACACAGTGGGGGTTGCAAAGCAGATTGCGGGCGTCTCTTTGACACAACTACTTCCCTGCAGTAGTGTACTCTCCCAAGTAAATGTTGCCTCGGATAAGGAAGGAACAGGGAGAAGGCAGGTGATTCTGAATCTGCTCTACCTCTTATGAGGGCTCTTGAGAACACATGTTCAACAGTGCTTCAAATTCAGAGAATGTTAAATCTGGAAGAGACTGTCAGACTACATACTGTACCCTGAATGTCCTATACATTTTTACATCTCCATGTCCTTGCTCACGGAGTGCCTTTCCCCCCAGCTAGCCTGGAAAAGCATCACTTTTGTACTAGCATCCCACTCTCTGAATGCAACACTGAGTGTACAGCATCCTAAGAAGCACTGTTATGATTTTCCTGCACTATGCATATGCATGCCTTGCAACATATTACATATTTTTCCATTTGTGTTCCTTTTCTCTACACTGTAAATTTGGAATGCTTGCTTGAGCAGATAAGATTACATTATGAGTGATGTTGGATAAATAGATAGTTGAAGGTAAATGTACTTTTAAATTACTTTCCATTTGTAGTGTTTTTGTTAGGAAATGAACTAACTCACAATTTTAGATTTCTCACTCGAATCGCTGAAGAAGAAAATATATGACTTAGTTGTGCTTTGTAGAGAAGTCATTATGGTATTTTCAAGACCTATAATTATGTGTGTTACAGTATGATTGACTTTCTTCTGATGCTGCCAAAGGGCCTCTTAGGTGTTATTATGGGAGAGGATCAATATTGTACTGTCCAGAAAAACTGTTGTTGACATTCACTGGAACAAATTAGAAAGTGACAAATAAAGAGGCAAAATTCATCTTTAAAAATAATGCATGGTCAGGCATCAAAGAACAAAAAATCATATCATTGTGAATGAGGGGCAGGGCAGAGGAGTAGAGGCCCAAAGCCCATCTGTAGGCAACTGGACATCCCCTTACAGAAGGGTCTCAGGGAGGAGACAAGCCAGTCAGGGTGCAGTGTAGCACTGATGAAACGTAGAACTTTCCTCTAGTTCTTTAATGCTTCCTCCTTCCCTTCCCCCACTATCATGATCACAATTCTACCTTACAAATCCAGCTAGACCAGAGGATGTACATGGGTACAGATAAGAGCTGGAAACACAGGGAATCCAGGACAGATAAACCCCTCAGGAACAATAATGAGAGTAGCGATACCAGGAGGGGAAGGGGAAGTTGGGTAGAAAGGGGGAACCAATCACAAAGATCTACATATAACCTCCTCCCTGCGGAAAGGACAACAGAAGAGTGGGCGAAGGGAGACGGTGGACAGTGTAAGATATGACAAAACAATAATTATAAATTATCAAGGGTTTATGATGGAAGGGGGAGCGGGGAGGGAAGGGAAAAATGAGGAGCTGATGCCAAGGGCTCAAGTAGAAAGCAAACGTTTTGAGAATGATGATGGCAACAAATGTACAAATGTGCTTGACACAATGGATGCATGTATGGATTGTGATAAGAATTGTAAAAGCCCCCAATAAAATGATTTTTTTTTAATAAAATGATTTTTAAAACATAAATAATTCATGGATTTTAGGACACTAGTATATGTATAATGGAGCCCTGGTAACACTGTCAGGTTAAACATTGGACTGCTAACCTCAAGGCTAGCAGTTCAAACCCACCAGTCACTCTCCAGGAGAAACATGAGGGTGTTTGCACCTGTAAAGAATATAGTCTCAGAAATGCTGCAAATCAGGTCAACTCAGTCCTATTGGGTTGCTGAGTCAGAATCGACTTAATCGCAGTGAGCTGGGCTTTGATTATTTGTATGAATAAAGGGAAAAAATGAAAGAAAGTAATGCCATCTTGTTTTCCTAATAAACTGCAAGCAGTCCTCCATTGTGAACATCTGCCTTATGGACAGCTCCTACTTGCCCTTTAATGCCATGCGGATTTGCCCTCACTGTGCCGGAATTCTCAACAAGTTCATCGCAATTACCTTTACTTTCTGCGTGTGCAGCTGTTTCTTTGAAAAAGGGTTGAGCCGTTTCTTGCACTAAACCATACCCAATCCAACCCACAACCATCAAGTTGACTCCAAATGAGTGGCTCAATAGGGCAGAATAGAGCTATTGCCATGGATTTCTAAGGCTGTAAATCTTTGTAGGAGCCAACAGCCTCATTTTCCTACTTTGGAGCAGAAAACTGCATTGTCCTACTCTGGAGAGGCTGGTAGGCTTGAACTGCCAACCCTTTGGACCTTAGCAGTTCAACACTTACCCGAAAATGCCACCAGGGCTCCTTCATCAGCATACAGGTGTTGAGTAAACCTGTGACCAAGAAGCAGGGTGAGGGGAGGCTGAGGCTAGAGGCCCGAGAATAGGGAGCTGGAATAAGAGACTGAAAGAAGTCAGAGGAGGGCAGAATATACCTGCTCCTTTGGACTTCCAAGGCTATAAATCTTTAATCTTTCTCCCTCAGAGCAACTGTTGGGTTCAAGCTACTGATCTTGCAGTCAGCAGCCCCAATGTGTAACTAAGAATTGTCTGAATCTGACCCAACTTCCCTACAACCCCTTAAAGATAGAGATGGGAATGAATCGTGCATGTAACCCAGGTACTGCCTATATGTTCACTGCCGTCCAGTCCATCCTGACTCGTAGTGACCCTCTAGGACAGAGTCGAACTGCCCCCTGTGGGGTTCTGAGACTGGAACTCGTGAGGGAAATAGAAAGCCTCTTACTGGTGGTTTCAAACTGCTGACTTTGCACTTTGCACACAACACATAACCCACTACGCCAACAGGGTTCAGTGCTGCCGAATCAAGAGAAAATTCTCCACTGTAACTTTTAGAATCGTTCCCTGGTTTATAGTCATTATGTTGGGGGAAACTTCTCTTCTCATCTTGGCAATCAGTCGGAACTCAGCATAATTGAAATGTTTTGGGTGGGTAATACAGCACGTGAACAGGATACCTTTTCACCCAACTGCTGATGCCTGGCTAGAGGGTATTTTAAGATAAGAGTGGCTGTAGTCTCCAAATCCATCCATACATACACATATATGTGTATGTTTGTGTGTATATGCATGTATGTATATGTATAGTCTCCATACATATATATGCATATGTATAGATAGATAGTGTGCGCGCACACACACATATATTATGGTATGTCACAGTATAATTTAAAATTTTAGAATGTGGAAATATTACACCAGCAATACGGTGAACACTCATATTAGCATGCACCACCCTAACTCTAGGATATTTGTCATTTCAAAGAGTCTTAAGATGTTTAAATTATTTTATTTCCTAACAATTGATGCAGACTGAACTATTTATTGAGGACGTCAGTGACTTGCTGGGGAATTCAAGCATCTTTATTAAACTTCATTTGAAATGACATGGTTTCTTTATGGCCTTTTATGAATAATGTATAAGTTTATCGTTGCTTCTTGACAAGTGCTTTGTTAACATTGCCATTAGGAGCCCTGGTGGTACAGTGGTTAAAGTGGCTCAGTAGTTTACCAAAACCTTGGTGAATTGAACTTGTAGACATCATTGTATTTCCTGTAGGACTTTTCACAGTGCTCAACATATTCAGTATTTGTTGAAATTGTTGACTTTCTCCCCTACTTATCTAAGTTAGATTAATGAAACCATCTATATAACGTGAGGTTTAAATAATCATACCATCAACCAAAGTGGTTAAGACACTAGTCAAGATTGCCCAGGTGTGACTACCTACTACATTATCTGTTAACTCCATAGCTACTTCATCAATAAAATCGGGACGATAGTGATAGCATCAGCCTTCTAGAGTTGTTAATGAGGAGTCAAATAACTAATTTAAGACATTTATCATGGTACGTAACATAGGATATGCTCAATAAAATGTAGCTATCATTATTCTGAGTTTGATCCTATCAGACTAGACTCTGAGACCCTTGAGGGTCTGTTTGTTTGTTTGTTTGGTGTATCTCAATTATTTAACCTTGAACAGTAAGCATCAATAGATATTTGTTTGAATTTATTTAACCATATTTTTTAATGTTTCATTACAGCCCACTGTTTGTAACATGGAAGATTGGTCGAGACAAAAGATTGCGTGGATGCATAGGTACTTTTTCTGCCATGAATTTGCATTCAGGACTCAGGGAGTACACACTTACCAGGTGAAGACCAATTTTTGTTACCACTGCTTCTACATTTAAAAGAAAAGTTTATGAAATTTGAACTTGATACTTAAACTTTCTTTCCTTTACTGAATTGTTAACATCTTGACTCCTTTATTGTCAATTTTTCCCTCTGTGACCATTTTCCTTATCGCTAGTATAAGGCCGTTTATATCGGCCGTAAGACATTGTGATTCTGTGCATTCTGACCTAGATGTTCTCAAGTGCTTATTTTTTTCTGCCTTTTAGTGACCAGCTTGTTTTATATAATTTGAAAATCTATAACCAAATATCCATGGGTTATCCAAATGTATTACTTTACATAATAATCATCATTATGTCTTCCTAGCAAGTTTTTTTAAATTAGTTAATGTCTGTTTCATTTTAGGCACTTTGCTTTTCTTTTTAATGTACTTTAAAAATTGAAGAGAGAGCCTGAAAAGAGTGATGCCGTAGCCTGGCAGCATAATCATTCACATTCACACTTCACCCAGAATTAATTATAACTTACTGATTTTGTTTCATCAAACACAATGACAAATAATGAATACCTCATTATGGTTGTTAAAACGAAGTTCCTAATTTTTGAACTCACAAAAAGCGATCTAGCATGCCATCTGATTTGCTTTTGTTCACATTCAGATTTCTAGTAACTTGTGTTCCAAAATTATTTCAAGAGAAGAAAATTCCTTTAATAAAAAAGCTATTAGTAAAGGAATTTCCTGTTTTTGTTCATATGTTAGGGTGATTATCTGATATGGGTTCTATAGTTTCAACATGCACTGTCTGCCCAGCAAGAAATTGGTCCCTGCTGACTATTGGTATGTGGGACAAGTTACTTAAAGGAAAGTAGTAATTATAATATTTTGTTCTATGTACTTAATAAAGATGTTAGGTGAATGAAGTAATACATGAAGAGTCAATGCTGTGAAATTGTTCATTATTTGACTGAAAGATTGCATAAATACAGGTTTATAGCACCAGTTAATAAAATGCTGGTGACTGAGTTTAGTATTTTCCCATTTGGAAGTTGGGGGGCTGACGGAGGCTTTCTCTTCCTATAAAAGCTACGTCATACTCACCAGAGAAGTTCAGAATTGACTCAATGGTAGGGAGTTTGGCTTTTTCAGTTTATTTGGAAGCATGCATTGGCTCACGGGTGCAGGGTTTTCCTAAGTAAGTCCAAAAAGAAAAGCAGTGGCTTGGAGGGTCACAGTTATTTCTTAGAATCAAGGAGTTTCAACTTTATTTACTAACATACAGGCAATAAGGGGGTCAAAATGCATATTCTTGAAATAACTGCATTTTATTTAAAGATAGATTAAGTGCTAGTCTAGTGGAACTTTTGGAGCATAATGACTTACATGTTGGCCTACTAACCACTAGGTCAGCAGTTCAAACCCACCAGCTGCTCTGAGGGCTTTCTGCTCCCTATAAAGATTTGTAGCCTCAGAACCCCACCGGGGCAATTCTACTCAGTCCTATAGTATTACTATGAGTTGACTCGCCTCGATGGCAGTAAATTTCAAGTGACTAAATATTAGTCTAACTAAGCATGTTAGATTTTTACTTTTTCCTTACATGCATGAAGTAGAGCAGGCACATCTTGAGATGTTACCCAGTTTTGTCAGTGACTGTCTTTTTCTGGGACAGGTGCAGATGTAATTACTCTTGTAATAACGAATCAAAAGCAATTTATTATGCATTTTCAAAAAAACCTGTTCTGCGGAACACTGGTTATTTAGCATTCTATGGAAAAGGGATCCTTAATGCCCAATAAAATTGGGAAATATTGGTTAAGCATTTAAACAGCTCCTCTACTCACCGCAGGACTTCTTGGAACCTTGTATGTTAATAAGCTTGTGTCTCTGAGAGAAAGATACAGAATACAGTATTCCCAAGACTTCCACCGATTGCCAAAACCTCCTCACTGTTTCAAGGAACCCATGTTGAGAAGCACACATCAGCAATATAGTTCTAGTTGTTTTAATACTTGCGGAGTCAGAGTTGATAATATAGGAATGCTTTGTACTTTCTCTGCCAGTTGTGAAATCCATTATCAAATATTACGCACTTCAGAATCGTTAGTAGTACTAGCTGTAGTCATAACAAGCTTTTGTCTTAAAAATGTGAGCATCTTCTGCCTACATTGCTATGAGATGAGAACATCTAATTTTTCCATGTTCCTGAATCGACCTCGCAGGGAAATGACAAATTGCACTATATTTTTCTTATAATAATGTGATTCCAAATGAGTTGTACAGATAGTTGGACTTGGAAATTTGCCTGCATGTGCATTCCTCATTACAGTCATCATATTGTATGGCTCTTCCTGTTTACAGTATAACTTTTTCCTGACAGTTCTAGACAACTTCCTCAAATTGTACATTGTATACTAGAGGTATATGTGTGTGTATACGCACACACATAGGCATGTCTGCTTTTACTCCCTATTGTTGTTGGACTTCATTTCTTTTGCTTATTCCTAGAGAATTTATGCTTCACTGCTTCTTGACCTCAAAATCAGGTTACTGTAATATTGTGGAAATCATATGCTAATATTGCTTCAACAAATCAAGTGTTTGTTTGGAAGAGATGAACTACAGAAAACATATCTTAATATATATTTGTACTCTTTTCTGGACTCATTTTAGGGTCAAAACCTGTAAGATGTCATTTAACAAAGTCACAGTATAATGTTTTCCTGTCCAATACTGTGCTTATGCTTTCTACATAATCTTATTTTGATGATGATTCTATTCACTGAGAACTTACATGTCACACACTGGGCTGAGGAGTTTATATGCATAGTCCTCTTAATAACTTTTAGGTGTTAATATTCACATTGTAAAAATGAGGAAACTGAGGTTTAGAGACTTTGAATGATGTACACATTTACACACCCAATCACATTCAGGCTGCCTGGCTGTAAAAAAAAAAAAAAAAAGACATGTACTACCCTGCTACATTCCAGATAAAACAGAAATAACTTCCACTGATGGACATAAGCTTGGCCGTGGACATCTGGGAACTTATCTGTTCTCTATTTCATAACACTTTTAGGACTTTTTAAAAATTTCACTCCAAACTCACTGCCATCGAGTTGATTCTGACAGATATGATCTTATAAGACAGGGTAGAACTGCCCCTGTGGGTTTCTGAGACTGTCACTCTTTGCAGGAGCACAAAGCCTCATCTTCCTCCCAGTGAGTAGCTGGTGGAGATGAATGGCTGTCCTTGCAATTGGTAGCCTAACGCATAATCCGCTATGCTTCCAGGGTTCCTCACTAAATCCCAAAACCAAATCCACTGCCACTGAGTAGATATTGACTCACAGCGACATTCTAGGACAGGGTAGAACTGCTCCTTGGAGTTTGCAAGACTGTAATAGTTTACAGGAGTAGAAAATCCAGTGTTTCTTCTGAGAGGCCGCTGGTGGTTATGAACTGCTGACCTTGCGGGTCACAGCCCAACATGCAACCATTATACCACCAGGGCTAAGGTTACTTACTACTACGTAGAACATTGAAATTACATACATAGTTTGAAATGTATTCTACTGTATATCCACAATACAGCTTCCTGAAAATAATGAATTCAAAAGCAGGTTAATATATTTTGAAAATCCTGGGTTAAGATTTCTTCAAAAAAACTAGTTAAGAGCTAAGATTGTAACTTTGGAACATTATATTTGAAAATCCAGGAAATCTATAGAGTGGATTATTCAAAGGGTACACTTAGGATTGTTAGGTCTATTTAGGGGGCGGGGGAAGGACTTAGATTAATATTTTACTAAAGGATGGTGCCTTTATAAATACTCTTTAATATTTTATTAAACATAATGCCTGTTATAAAAATATATTACTCTATGATGTTATATTCTTTCGCTTTGTGTGTTTCAATTTGAATAGTAATTTAATATTATAGAATATAATAATTGGTGATTCTTCGATTCTGGTCTTTCAAACTTAAAACCCCACAAAACACACAAGGTACAAATAAGATCAAATGAACTCAGAGAGTTGAAGGGGAAGAAAAGAGAAAATGAAACAAGCATGAAAATCAAAACTTTTCCAGATGTAGGTATTTTTTAAAAAATCCTAACACCTAGTTCTTTATTCATCACGTGTTATCAAGTAGACTTTACTTCAATTTTCAGAGTGTTACATAGATATATCCTTTCTTCTTTTAGAGAGCTAATCGGTTTATAAAAGCTAGTAATCTAACTTGCTCCTAAACTCCAAACTCCCTGCCATCAAGTCATTACTGATTCACAGCAACCTTCGATAGGTCTGAGGAGAACTGCCTCTGTGGGCTTCTGAAATGGCAAATCTGTGTGAGGGTCAAAAGCCTCTTTCTCCCACAGAGCATCTGCTGGTTTCAAACTGCTGACCTTTTGATTAGGTGCCCAGTATGTGACCACTACGCCATCAAGGCCCCTGATCAAGCATGCTAGTGGCTTCTTATTTCTCTAAAACTTAAAATGGCAAATAACTAATGACATTTGAAATGAATGGCTGTCCTAGATTAAATATTTGTAAACACTGTCTTAAAATTAAAATGCTTGTCGTCATCAAGTTGTATGTTCTCATAACTTTTGATTGATTTTAGATTGAAATATATATATATTTATATATACATATATATAAATATCTATCTATCTATCTATCTATCTATCTATCTATCTATCTATAGAGAGAATTCCCTCACAATTTTAAAAACTCATAGGTTCTTTGTAGACTATCTTGAGCACTTTGGGAGAATTACACTGCTCAGCTATTAGATAGACTTTTCTTTCTCTATATTTGGAGACTATGTGAAAGCAGGAAAAGCCATTGCCACCAAGTCGATTCGGGCTCATTGTAACCCTGTAGGGCAGAGTCGAGCTGCTCCCAGGGTTTCTGAAGCTGTACAGCCTCTGTGGGAGCAGAAAGGCTCATCTTCTTCTGGTAGCAGAGCTGGGGAGTCTGGTCTGCTAACCTTACGAAGATGAGAACAAA